GCTAAGGCATTCCCTGGCATTCACTGCCATTCAAGACACAGAAGCCGTGCCACTCATCCAGTTATCTTTCGGGATCAAGGTAACTGGCTGATAATAAACCCTAAACTCTAAACCCTAAACCCTAAACCCTAAACCCTAAACCATTATAAGGAGTTAACGATTAAGGTTTAGGCTCTGTTCAAAAAGCAGCCAAGGCCGCCACGCTCCATGGCACCAGTGCACGTGCTCATCCCCTTAGTTACTCTTTGGGTGCATATAAGGGTTTAGGGTTTAGGGTTTAGGGTTTAGGGTTTAGGGTTTAGGGTATATAAGGGTTTCAGGGTTGGGTTCTTGGGTCTTGTTTTAGGGCTTCTGGGCTCTTTAGGGATTTTAACTTCTTTCAACTTTCCGGGTCTAGGGGTCAAGCGACGGCTTAGGGTTTTTGGACAAATCTATTAATTAATTGTAGAGGGACCCTGGTTGAGGCTGCAGGGTTCTTGGGCGCCGGGTTGAATAAACCCCCGAACCGCTGTAGCCTGGCTACTACCACTACCACGACTACCAGTACCCCAAAGCCCTGTGAGTTTAGGGTTAGGGAGGACTTTAGGGTTTAGGGTTCAGGGTTTGGAGTTTAGGGTTTAGGGTTTAGGGCATAGGGTTTATGAACCTGAAACCGGATGCGGCGAAGCGGCGCCGATCGCCCAGCACGATGGGCACGTTCCCGCTCGAATAGCGGATGGAGAGGAGCCTTGGTTCGGCCGCTGTAGACTGTTATATAATGACAATAACGTCAGCAATAATGATAGTAGCAATAGTAGTAATAATAATAAGAAGAAGAAGAATAATAATAATAGTCGTAATAAGAAAAACATTAGGAATAACAATAATAGTAATGAACAAAAGCAAATAACAATAACAACAATAAAGAATCATGATAATGATCCTTCTTGTCAGTACGACTATCATCATTATTATTATTGTGGCTATGGCCATTCAAATTAGTAATATAGCTTTTGGTACTGCTATCATTATTGGCTGCCCGGGGTATCCCTAGAAGAGTTACTGGAGGGTTTAAGGTGTAGCGCTGGCGGTCCATAAGTTTTGGCTTTGTAGGTTGGTATGAAGACTTGAAGGCACTGTAAACCCTAAACCCTAAACCCTAAACCTCAAATGGCGAGGCCAGGGTCTGGGAAGGCAGACGCTGTGTCAGAAATCTACCGCGGGAATCTTCCGGGGTACTACTGTTGACGATAAAAAACCTGCATTACCTTAAGGAGGGTTTAGGGTTTAGGGTTTAGGGTTTAGGGTTCCGTAGACTTGTGGGCATTCTGGCATCTTCTTTATTATGGGTAACATCATCAAGCGTACTGCCAACTATCCAGGCCCCGGCAATAAACCCTCCGTGCTGAACCATTGCGTCTTGTTTCGGGGTTTAGGTCTTGCTCCGTTGGCTGGTCGGACTTCTCTTCTTCCACCCCCTAAACCCTAAACCCCAAAAAGTTGGAAACCCGATTAAGGACAAATAGTGCTGCGATTCCCTATACATTAGTCTTAAGGATTGAGGCTATTGGGTTTCCAACTTTTGGGCTTCTACTGTAAGGTTTAGGGCTAAGGGCTTAGGAGGGTTTAGGGTTTAGGGGTTTAGGGAGGGCTTAGGGCTTAGGGCTTAGGAGGGTTTAGGGTTTAGGGGTTTAGGGAGGTTTAGGGTTCAGGGCTTAGGGAGGGTTTAGGATTTAGGGCTTAGGAGTTAAGGGTTTAGTTAGGCTTGGGGTTTAGGGCTTAAGTAGGCTTTAGGGCAGTAGGCATCTCCATCATCAGAGCTGCGCGGGGTTCCAAATCCTAATATAGGGTTTAGGGTTTAGGGGGCCTTGCGGCCCTGAAGGGGCGCTAAGGCACTGTGGCACAGCTTCAAAACAGTGCTCAGACCGGCAAGCTAAACAATTGAAACCGAAGCCAAAACCCATGAACGTTAAACTCGAAATCTTAAACATCCCTAAACCCCACTGATGTAGCGGCCTACATTGATTACCGATACTATTCTGGCGGTTCCTTAGTATACTTATACTACAATGGGCCCCAAAGCCCTATTCTAATTATTAAGGCGCCTATATTACCCTTAGTCAGGCTGAGACGTCGGCTTGTTCAAGGTTGCTCCAACGAGCTGCTGGCTGCTCGCCTTAGCTGAATGGGGTGGTTCAGATGCACCTGGACCCTGTAAGACCTATCTTTTTTTGTTACGTCAGACCTTGAAAATGTAGGTTCCGGAAGGTTAAGACGAATTACTTAACATACGGGAGATCTTAAGATTCGCAGTTCCTGAATTGCGGTGTAGGGCTAGACCCTCAGTGTTGGTGCTCGTTTGCTCAACGTTCGGGTTTCCGGGTTCCTTAGGGGATGCTGCTGGGGGCCTCAGAGCAGACATGAGGGAAGGACGGGATGGGGACCTTCGAGGGAAGACATAATGTAGAGGCTTTAATAATTAGAATAGGGTTTTAGGCTTCCTTGCTATAATTATAGTATAATGTACCCCAAACCCTATTCTAATTACTAAGACCCCTGTATTATTAAATGAGCCTTTTCCAAAGCAACGGGGGGCCCCCCCGAGAAGGGACTGCAGACTGCTGAGCCCCGGGCGCTGAGCAGATCGTAGCAGTGGAGCAGCATGGCCAGAATGCCCACCTGTCATGTCAGGGTTTAGGGTTTAGGGTTTAGGGTTTAAGGTTGAGGGTGTCATGTCAGAAATCTCGTTTGAGGGGCCTTCATACATGGAATAGGGATTTTGGGTACATTCTACTATGGTTATACGAACGATCGCTAAGCCTGACACTTTCTCAAACTCCCCTTGCTTCATGCATCTAGGCTGTTACAGGATTCAAGTAGGGTTCAGGGTTTAGGTTCTTGGGGTTTGCAGTCTAAACCCCAAACCCCAAAACAGGCTCTCTAGGATCCAGGAAGAGGTCGTGAATCTCATGCAAGGCCCAGACTGGCTTAGCTGAAATACAGACATTCACTCACAACCAGCACCCCGCCATAGATTGAAGTATATTGAAAAAGATTCAGAAAAATATTCGATTCTTTAGTTTGATGGTTGCGGAGTGAACGGACCCCAGTCCTGAAACCCCTTCAGGGCTTAGGGTTCAGCATGTCCCCCAAGCTTTGCATGCTCAACAGGGCCAGAATCACCACGCCGTGCGCTGCACCTATGTAGGGCTCCTTGAAGCAGTGCCTGGCTGGGGCGTGGCTTGCCCTTGAGCCCACAGGAAAAAGTCCTCAGCCGAGACTCAGGGCCCTAAAGCCGCAAAGGCCCTAAATGCCTAACAGCCGTGGAATTTAGGGCTTCAGGGCTTTCGGCTTTGGAGTTATCGGTTATCGGACTTAGCTTTGGGGTTCTGGGATTTTGGAGGCACTTCCGGCCTTCACGGCTGCGTGAAACACCTCAAACTCGGGTAGACAGCTTTTAAAAGAGTGGTCTTCATGTTAGATTAGGGTTCTGGGGTGGAGTACTATACTATCACTATATATGGGGACTATAAGGGAGTTTGTTGACTCTTTTTTCCGACCCCAATAGCTTCCGTCTTAGTCTGATGGGTCCTCGTTCTCCGCACTCATCCCACGGTATGGGTGGTGAGGGAATAAGGTTCAGGGTTCAGGATTCAGGGTTCATGTTCAGGGTTCAGGTTTTAAGGTTCAGGATTCAGGGCTTGGGGTTCAGGGTTCAGGTTTTAGGGCTCAGGATTCAGGGTTTAGGGTTCAGGGTTTGGGCTTTAGAACTCACTAAGGATCAATCTCTCTCGAGGGCCGCCCGTCAAGGCTCAGGCTCAAGACACGCACCCTGCCATACTCTAGGCCCACGACTTCCGTGAAGAAATCAGCACCTTCGAAAAAAAGCAGACCCCAAGCCTAACCCACCCCCCCTCCTCCAAAAAAAAACGAAACTCTACACCTCAAGCCCTACGAAAGTGGCCGGAAAACAGGTTTTGGGGTACAAAACGTTCAATCGTTACATACTCAGCTTTCGACCCTAATTAAACCCAAAGCATAATTCAATAGGGACCCCCATATTCTGTTTCCGAACCCTCCAGAAACAACGCAGGCCGGCAAGGCCACATCAGAGGCCAGTCGTAGCTCTTCTCAGCTCGGGCGCGCCTAGGCACGCAAAGTTCCAGACTGTAGGATTGAGGTTTGGGATTGCGGGCGTCGGCTTTCAGTTTAGGGTTTAGAGTGAGGGTTTAGGCTTCAGGGAGAGTTTCACCCAAGTCCTACCCAAGCCACGGATACCTCGCAGTGCTGCGCTTTGACCAGAAGCCCCAAAACCCCGAACCCCCAACTAAATCCTAAACCCTAAACCCTAAACCCTAAACCCTAAGCCCTGAAGCCCTAATCCAAATACCCTATATAACCCTTATATACCCCTTAAAAAGCCTCATAAAGCGAGCCCACAGATCCCCACATACACACACACACACACATGCACGGAAACAAATGATCGTAACAACAATCGTAAATACGAACAAGAAGAACAAGACTCTATCTACAGTATACATGTATACATACACACACAATGAGCTATACTATTCATGCTTGTTTTCTGTTTATTCATAATTGTGTTTTAAGTCACTCATGATTCAGTCACATATATTTATGTGTATATATATATATACACAGACGTGTGGGATAACACTCGACCTCGGACTGTACACCCCAACACGCTGTCCATAGGCCTGAGAAGGCCTGAACATAGAGGGCCTATAAGAGCCAGCTGGGTAGTTCTCGAAATTGGGTTCCCTTTTGGGGGTCCCAAAAATAGGACGGCACCCGTTATAAAAAGAACCCCAAAAGGGACCCTGATTTAGAGGACCACCCATATAGATTAAAACGCTTGAAGGCCCGATCAAACCCCAAAACTCGATCAGCCTGTATAGGATGATGGTCTCCGGGACACAGGATGTAGGATGTAGGGAAACCCTTAAAGCCCCAAACCTGAACTCTACTTTCGAGGACAAATAGAACTCAGTAAATATTGACAAAAACAGACCCTGCATCCTTATTCAAAAAAAACACGGCGCCTGTGTTTTGGACCACTGTTTGTTTAACGCCTAAAACCTTGCAGAATCCTTAAAAATCCCTTCTGGGCTAGAACCCTTGTAGTCGGGCTTAGCACGACCCCGAACCGCCTCGCAACGACGCAGGTCGACCCCCGGGTGTCCGGGCCCCGTTTCTACCTGGCAGTAAGGTCGGTTTAGGGTTTAGGGTTTAGGGTTTACGGTTTAGTTTAGGGACCTGGCAGTAAGGTAGGCGCCTCACCAATTAAAGCAGGGTTTTGGGGTATATTACAGTATATCTGGGGTCTTTTGGGGTATAATACCGTGTATCTATACAACAAGGTGCTTGGGTACATGATAGTATATCGACACCCAGGAAACCCGGAATAATGTTGGTAAATATTCAGGGTTCCCTAAACCCTAAACCCTAAACCCTAAACCCTAAACCCTAAACCCTAAACAACCAACCATGCTACAACTTCATTGAGTCTCCTGGTCTTCCGTCCTCTCCTTCTGGCCTACATCGCCAAAACGGAATGCAACCCCTCAAACCCTCAACCCGAAGATACCCCTGGGTAGTTGTCAAAATTATGGTCCCTTTTGGGGGTACCCTAAATATTAGGTGCCGTATTATAATAAGGACCCAAAAGGGGACCATAATTTTGACAACCACCCCCCTGGACAATGGACTGGCGCTTAGGATCTCGGGTTTTGCCTCAAAAGGTCTGCGCAGAGCTCTTTAGCAGTAGGGGTCCTATGAAGGTTTAGGGGCTTAAGGGTTTATAGGGTTGAAGGGGTTAATTACAGTGGTATAAAGGGTTTCCCTAAACCCGAAACGACCCTAAACCCTAAACGTTGTAGGGAGGCTCGGGCTTAGTTTTGGTACGAACTATGTGTGATTCTTCGTATTAAGGGGTTTAGGGTTTAGGGCTTAGGGTGGTTACGTTTAGCTCCTGTATTTCCCTTGCTGGATTCTGCAGTAAAAAAATGTCGGAAGGGTTTTTGGGGGCTCCTTGTTATATTTATACTATAAAGGAGCCCAAAACCCTGTTCTAATTATTGCGGCAGAAGTAAAGCAAAAGCATGGCATAGAGCATAGCATGTATGTAGTAGACTTTGGTTCTCTAACCCTGAGACCCTATAAACCTTAAATCCTAAAGCCTATCCCCTAAACCTCAAACCCTATGCCCTGAACTTTAAACCCTAAACCCAATGCCCTAAACCTCAAGCCCTGAACCCTATGCCCTAAACATTAAACCCTAAACCCAATGCCCTAAACCTAAAACCCTAAACCCTATGCCCCAAACCCTATCCCCTAAACCCTAAACCCTATGCCCTAAACATTAAACCCTGAACCCAGTGCCCTTAAACCTTAAACCCTGAACCCTCCCTGAACTCTAGGAGCCCAATAAGGTAGGGATATCCCTATAAAATGCTTATGCTTATGTGCTTTTTGGGTTCTTAAACCCTAAACCCTAAACCTTAAACCCTAAACCCTAAACCCTAAACCCTAAACCCTAAAACTCGAGCCGGCAGCGCCAGCCGCTCCGCCACGGCCCCGAGCGGCGCGGCAAAGTCGGCCGCCTCCGGACCCAGTCGCCGCCTTCAGGGACTCCGAGGTTCCTTTAAGGGCTCCTTTTTAGGGTTTAGGGTTTGGGGTTTAGGGTGTAAGGTTTGGGGCTTTAGGGGTTTAGGGTTTAGCGCTCTAGGGTTTTAGGGGTTTAGGGGTTGAGGGTTTAGGGTTTTAGGGCTTAGGGGTTTAGGGTTTAGGGGTTTGGGGTTTAGAGTTCAGGGCTCCTTCAAGGTTTCGGGTGGGGTTCAGGGGCTGAGGGCTTTGGGGAAGGGTTCCGTTAAGGGCGCCTTCAGGGTTTCGGGTTTTAAGGCATAGGGCTTTAAGGGTTTAGGGTTCAGGGCTTGGGGAAGGGATTCCGTGAAGGGCTCCTCTCAGGGCTTCTGGGGGTTTAGGAGTCCAGGGTTCTTTCAGGGCTCCACGGGTTTAGGGCTTACGGGTTTTCTGCGAAGAGTCCATAAAGTTAAAGGAAACTACAGGTGGGGAGTTTAGGGTATATAGGGCTTCTATAAGGCTTCCATAAGGTGTATAGACCTTCTATAAGGCTCCTATAACGGTAACTACCCACCTGAAACTGTCCTAGAATCAAGGGGTTGGAGGCTTCAAGGGCTTTAGGATGGAAAGACTTAACATTCAGGGTTTCGGGTTTAGGAGCTTAGGGCTGCATAGTATTGGGGTTGCTGCAAGGGTTACTATACGGGCTGCTTTGGTGGCTAGCATAGGGGTTGCCGTAAGGGTTACTATGTTTTTTGGGTTGTTGCGGTGTTCAGGTTTACAGGTTTGCAACCTACTGATGCTTAAGGCAAAGTACAGGAGGGGTTATATAGGGACAGCTATAGAGAGCCACTCTCCAGCCTCCCCCCTTAAGCGCCAGCAAGAGAAACCTAACAAACTGCCCTTACTCAGCGCCATGGTCCCTTCGGGAAACCCCCCAAACCCCCTAAACCCTACCCCCCTAAACCCCAAATCCTAATCCCAAACCCTAAACCCCAAACCCTGAACCCCAAACCCTAAACCCCAAAGCCTAAATCCCATCCCCAAAACTTCGGCGGAACTAAGTTCCCCGGACCCTCCGAGTTAAATCGAACCCAGCATCCCTCATAAGTCATAAGAGTTTCTTCTTGGGATCTCTAAGGATCCTATAAGGATTCCAGAAGGGTTCGTTCTTGGGATCTACAGATCGATAAGGAATCCATAAGGGGCCTGCAAAACGATAACACGCACTAAAAGACCACTACAGAACTTCATAAATGCAGAATCCTTACAGACCCACAATTGAAATCATGTATCTTATCGGGTACCTCAGGCCCCTGCACCCTAAACCATGAGTCCCCTAAAATCCCAAATTCTGAACCCCCCCAAAAAAAAACCCTAAAAAAAGTCAAAACACGGTTTAGGTTTTAGGGTTTAGGGTTTAGGGCCACCTGTTCCCCATCGGCCTCACCCAAAGCAGCGCGTAGAGGTAGCCGGCTCTCCCAAAGAGGAGCTCATCCTCCGGATGGTCCAGGGCCTGGGCGCTTGAGGGATTAAGAGCTCTTTAGGCGCTTCAGGGCTGGAGGGCTTGAAGGTTTAGGGTTTTGGGCTTTAGGGTTTAGAGTCTAGGGCGCTTCAGGGCTTGAGGGCCTAAACGTTTAGGGTTTAGGGTTCAGGGCTTGAGGGCTTGAGGGCTTAAAGGTTTAGGGTTTTGGTCTTTACGGCTCTAGCGGGCTTAGGGCTTTAGGGTTCTTTAAGGGTTTGATATAAGGGGCCTTGATAATAAAGTAAGGCTTGGGGGGGTGTATTATACTGAATGAGACCATAACTGCGACCATAACACGGAACCCTAAAGGCACATACCACTGGTTAGTCTTGTCATGTATTCAGGATCCTGCAACGAAGGGAGTCGGAAGTCTCCAACGCAGTCCGAGCGATGGGCAGGGCCGCTCCACTCCAGAAGTCTGCGCAAGTGCCTTGCGGCTTAGGGTTTAGGCCGATTGCTGGTTTAGGGTTTAGGGTTTAGGGTCTGGTTTAGGGTTTAGGGTTAAAGCAACCTGTTGAGACTTCATCAACCCTGCTCCCGAAGCTTGGAATCCTTTTTGGCGTCATGCTACTTACCCGTTTAAATACCAATATTGTATTGGCGATTTCTGTGCGATGGTTGTGTTTGAAACCATTTGGCGAATAGCATCAAGCCACTATGTTGACCTGCTTGTAAAGTCCCAGATGGTCCGATTGAGAAAAAAGGTGCGCCATATCTGTGCTAGAGGTCTGTCTGGGGCATGTATACTGTGCAGATATACAACTATCGTTGTGTTTGAAACCCTTTAAGGAAACCCTAAACCCTAAACCCTAATGGTATGAAGCCACTATATTCTGTTACTTGGTTGAACAAGACATCGTTCAGTGATTACTGCCGCCCCAGAGGACTGCAAACCCTGGAGCCCGAAATCCCCGAACTCTTTGAGTCAATGTGATGTAGGGGCCTTAAGAATTAGAGCAGGGTTTTGGACTTCTTTATAATATAACCATGAAAAGGAACCCTAAGGAATAATATT